CCCTTGGATAAAGATAGACTAGAGAAGCCTGCTGCAAGGCCCAAAGTGGGTCTAAGCCCCGTTGCGTAAATAGCGTTGAGTTCTTGTTGCTGTTAGTTTTGTGCTGTCATAGGGATAAAATATCTAGTAGAATCCGACATGTACATCATCAAACAGTTTCACTTGATTTACCTCTAGACCGCTTGAACTTTTATTTTTTGAGTTTTCTTTCTGATTTTTTGTTTCCTTGTTACAATTATCGTAATACTTTGATGACTTACTATTGAAAAAAGAACAAACTCACAGTCACGCAGAAATTGCTACCATTGGTTGATACTCCAGCGGTAGCCTACTTAGGATTTCCTTCGACAGTCGTTACTATCCATGAGCCTGGTGGTGTTGTTAGGTCACATTGTCCTGGAAAATGGTATATGAGTACTCAGAATACACTTTGGATAACTATACCAGCTGAATGAGCAGAGGTGAACAATAGTCCAAGAGCTAACACCTGTAGGAGGATGTTCATCGCAGACACGACAAGTGATAGCGTACCACTCCTTATCAAGGTAGAAATTTTTGAAAAGTCAGTAGTAATTTATGATCTTTCAACTTTACTATAATCGCTAACGTCAAAGCGTCGTTTGAACTTTCTGCCACTCTTCGCTTCCGGCAAGAGTGGTCCAGCGTGAGAATGCGCCCCATTCTTTCTCGGAAACAATAAATGGGCATCTTAAGTTTTATCAACGCATGTGCAACTTACTCACAATTACCGAACAGCCCGCGTGTTTGGTAAACATGCGGCTACTGTAGCGGAAAACCGGATCCTCGAAACCAGAGCATGCGTACAAAGCCTTCCGCATGACGGTTCCGCAATGGGACATCTCGGCGAATTTAGTGTCGTTCTGCTGACCGCCGCGGGGGAGTCGGCAGTGTCGCGAGGCGGCTAGCGACAAGTTGGTAGACACTCTGACATTCTATGTTTACTTCACTAATTATTAGTAAAAAGCGTGGCCCTACGGCGCTTTGGACTGGCTGCATGAGCGGGGAGGGGAAAGCAAATATCTTCATGCCATCTCTGACAGCTGGCAAGCTTTTTGGATCAATAGTCCATATACCAGTCGAAAGCTCAGCAAATGAAGATTCAACGTCGACCATCGACTGATTTCTTGCCCTCCCCCTATCTAAAGGTACGCAGCATTTCTGCAATTACGTTCTGTTTTAGCAAAATTCTACAACGGTGAGCTAATCATCGCCTATCGTTTACATATGTTATGAAGCAATTTATTAAAACGCCTTAATGGTCGATTTTTTCGTAGCTTAGACTTCATTGTGATAAGAGAGCAGAAACTAAGCACACGAAACTAGTTGATATATTGGCCAGATATAATCCCTTATATCTCACGGCTAAAAAGAATGGTAGAATGTCGATGGTCTTGTCAATTCCCGAGCTCATGAGTCATCTCGCCTTCCTTGAAAAGGCCTCACTCCCCTAGTAAATCTTCCGAGTGAACATGAGACGATGTCGCTATCAGTTTCCTTCCCCCCCCCCCTCACCTGGCTGGCATTTTAACGAGTGTCAGCATTCAACTATCAGGGCTGAAGTGTTAGATCATGGATCACTGCCGACTTTCCACAGTAACCAAAAATTTTCTCCTTGATAAGCGAGCGATAGGTTATCACTTGCCTGCGATGAAATCGCTCCTATGGGTGTTCTTGGACTATTCACCTCTGCTCTTTCAGCTGGAGGGTGATGAGGGTCTGGAAGATGGAATAAGGACGAGCAGAATGCAGCGAATTGGAAGTTCCATACTTCCGTTTTTTTGGAGAACGGCACTTTGGCTCTTTCAATACTCGAGCGAAGAAGAAGTTTGAAAGAAGGAATTGCTCTCATGCTACTTATTGCAAAAATTTTGATTCATCCAAGTTTTACATAACAAGTGGATTAAGCGCAAATAAAGTCTGTCCACTTTTCCATATTGGTAGAATATATGGTAATGGAGATCCAAAGTGATACATTAAGTGTTGTGATTGATTGTGGCAAGCGTAAGAAAAATCTATTGCATTATATGAAGTTTGCTGTCTTTTCAGAAAACACTGCGGAGAAATAAACAGAGATGATCACTTCAAATTTTGAATCTTGTCTGTTCGCATTTTCTATTCTAATTCTTCATTAGTTAGTGGAGACCTAATCGAATAGTATTAGGTCGACAAGAAAGTTCCCAGACATTCATTTCGAATTTTTATTTTGACACGAGCATCAAATGGGGCATGCTTTACACCGTTAGATAAAGAAAAACAATTCCTTTAAACTTATGGTATTTTTTCTGCACTAGCGGCCCTACTGGTCGCTCGCAAGTGGGTTAGGGCAGTACATTTTACCCGTATAGTTGTCACCACAATTACCTCTACGTTTTTATCTTTTCAATCCAGCCAATCCATACAAGCTGCACACCATTAGATGCAGCATAAAATGCTGATTCCAAATCTGTCTTCCTTATCTGCAGAGCGCTTTTGTGGACGAAATTATATGCCGTTGAAGGCCATTATTTTGCTAAGAATTTGTGCCTGTAAAGTGTAAATTTGGCCGTACAAGGCCATTCTCGGCTCAGTGTGAGACCAGAACATGCAACTAGGTCACTTCATACGACCCGTGCCTAGAGGTGAGCTGAAAGAGCAATAATGTGCCCAATTTCGCAATTTTTGGATGCGATTTTTTCGTAGTAAAGCTGCTCATAACTTCGCCTACAAAGGCGCTCTGCAGATATAAAAGACAGATTTGAAATCAGCATTCTATGCTGCATCGAATAGTATGCGGCTTGTATGGATTGGTCACTTCGACTTCTGACCATTCCCTTGTTACATAGTTCCCTATAAAGTTTGGCAGCGAAAACAAGCATGGTTTTCTCATGCCCTACGTGTCGCCTACAGACTACCTTTTGTGAAGAAACAATGCTCCACCTATCATATACAAAGCGATAGACGTAAGAGCTGCCCACAATTGTCCAAAATGATGTTTCAAGAGAAGAAACCTTCCCAGGAGATACCGTCCTTCGTATCCTCTACAAATGACATTGCATTCTAAATTACCATAAGCCCCCCCCCCCTAGGGGACTAAAGTATTTTTTGAAAGTTTAGCTGAGTTGTTGTAGACTACATCGTCGTTTTGAGAGTCGACTGCTTGGTAACCAAGTGGAGAATGGTGGGAATTTGGCTCAAAATAAATTTTAGAAGAGACTCAAAAGATATCGATTAATTAGCAATGAGTATTCTTAGAAAAGAATTAAGAGCCCCTTAACTGATCAGTTTCATGTTACCCAGAACTAATAGAAAAGGTATAAAACGTAGGGGTAATTGTGGTGACAACTATACGAGTAAAATGTATTGCCCTAACCCACTTGCGAGCGGTCAATAGGGTCGCTAGTGCAGAAGAAATACCATAAGTTTAAAGGGATTGTTTTCCTTTTTCCAACGTTGTAAAGCATGCCCCATTTTGATGCTCGTGTCGAAATAAAAAATCGAAATGAATGTCCGGGAACTTTCTTACCGACCTAATACTATTCGGTTAGGTCTCCACTAATACTAATGAAGAATTAGAATAGAAAATGCGAACAGACAAAAAGCAAAATCTGAAGTATTTCTATCTATTTCTCCGCAGTGTTTTCTGGAAAGACAGCAAGCTTCATATAATGCAATAGATGTTTCTTACGCTTGCCATAATCAATACTGACATTTGGTCTATCACTTTAGATCTCCTTTACCATTTATTCTACCAATATGGAAAAGTGGTCAGACTTTATTTGCGCTGAATGCACTTGTCATGTAAAACTTGGCTGAATCGAAATTTTTGCAATCCGTAGCATGAGAGATACTCTTTATTCTTTCAAGCTTCTTCTTCCCTCGAGTATAAGAGCCAAAATATCGTTTAATCACCCCCAGCTAAAGGAGCAGAGGTGAACAATGGTCTAAAGGCTAAGACCTGTAGGAACATTTTCATCGCAGACAAGTGATAACCTATCGCTCGCTTATCAGGGAGAAAATTTTTGGTTACTGTGGAAAGTCGGCAGTGATCCATGATCTAACACTTCAGCCCTGATAGTTGAATGCTGACACTCGCTAAAATGCCAACCGGGTGAAGGGGGGGGGGGGGAGAAGGAAACTGATAGCGACATCATCTCATGTTCACTCGGAAGATTTACTAGGGGAGTAAGGCCTTTTCAAGGAAGGCGAGATGACTTATGAGCTCGGGAATTGACAAGACCATCGACATTCTTCTAGTCCTCTTAGCCGTGAAATATAAGGGATTATATCTGGCCAATATATCAACTAGTTTCGTGTGCTTAGTTTCTGCTCTCTTGTCACGATGAAGTTTAAGCTACGAAAAAATCGACCATTAAGGTGTTTTAATAAATTGCTTCATAGCATATGTAGATGATAGGCGATGATTAGCTCACCGTTGGGTAGAATTTTGCTAAAACAGAACGTAATTGCAGAAATGCCTACCGTACCTTTAGATAAGGGGAGGGCAAGAAATTAGTCAATGGTCGACGTTGAATCTTCATTTTCTGAGCTTTCGACTGGTGTATAGACTATTGAGTCAAAAGTCTTGCCACCTGTCACGAATGGCTTGGAGATATTTACTATTTGCTTGCTCCCCTCCCCTTACTCACACAGCCAGTTGAAAGCGATGCTAAGCACCGTTATCCGAAAGGCCTTTGTACGTATGCGGTAGTTTCAAGTGTCCGGTTTTCCGCTACGGAGTTTACCAAATCCGCGGCCTGTTCAGTAACTATGAGTATGCACATGTGTTGATACATCTCAGAAATCACCCATTTATTGTTTTCGAGGAATACGACGGAGAATGGGGTGCGATCTCACGCTGGACCACTCTTCGCGGAAGCGAAGAGTGGCAGGAAGTTCAAACGGCGTTGGCGATTATAGTAAAGTTGAAAGATCATGAATTACTGCTGACGTTTCAAAAATTTTTACCTTGATAAGGAGTGATAGGCTATCACTTGTCTGCGATGAACACGCTCCGACAGGTGTTAGCTCTTGGACCACCTCTGCTCGTTCAGCTGGTATAGTTATCCAGATTTTCTGAATAAACCGATATACCATTCTCCAGGACAATGTGACCTAACAGTTCCACCAGACTCATGGGTAGTAACGACTGCCGAAGGAATCACGAAGTGGGCTACCGCTGGAGTATCAACCAATGGTAGAAATTTCTGCTGGAATGTTAGTTTGTTCTTTTTTTAATAGTAAGTCACGAAAGTACTACGATAACTGTAACAAGAAAACAAAAAAAAATCGGAAAGAAAACTCAAAAAATAAAAGTTTAAGCGGTCTAGAAGTAAATCACGGTTGAAACTAATTGATGATGTACATATTAGATTCTACTAGATTTTTTATCCTTATGACAACACAAAACTAACAGCAGCAAGAACTCAACGCTATTTACACAACGGGGCTTATACCCATTTTGGGCCTTTCAGCAGGTTTCTCTAGTCTATCTTTATCCAAGAGGAGGTCCGCCTTTCTTCCACCGCTCGTTCAGATCCCGAGGGCGTTACCTTCGCGCTGTGGTCAGTACCCCCTGTTCACAAGTATTTATACCGTTGAAATATCAAATCGGTTACTCTTTTCCTGCCATTAAAGACTGTTAAATCGATAGACCGCGCGGTCCAAGGAACTAGAATAAAATGTTATATTAAATTGTTCCAAAAGTTCTGTCGCTTTGATTTTGAAAAATTCGTAACTGCCCAGCATGCGAACGTATTCACATACAAAAAATATCCATACATAGAAAAATTCTTCTACCTTCTAAATGCATCCCTGTGGCTCTTTGACGTCAAAGAACTCCAGAGATAAAAATTCATATAGGAGAAATACTCAAACTCGTGATTTTGGAAAATAAAATCTGAAAAGTTAAAAATCTGAAAAGTTAAAAATCTGAAATTCTGCAGAAAAATCTGAGAGCATGTTTTTTAGAGGCTTTGTGAGCTGCTCTTTCTAATGATGCTAAGACGTGCTGATCAAGCTTTTTTACGAAAATTATGGTTTTCGTGGAAATTGCAGAAAATTGCAAAAAACGCTGCGCCAGAAACGCCAAACGATTTATTTTCCAGAATCGCAAGTTTGAGTGGTTCCTCTATTTGAGTTTTTTATCTCTGGAGTTACTTGACGTCAAAGAGCCGCGAGGATGTGGTTGGAAAGTAGAAGAGTTTTTCTATCTGATGATATTTTTTGTAAGTGAACATGTTCACATGCTGGGCAGTTACGAATTTTTCAAAATCAAAGCGACAGAACACTTTCGGAACAACCTAATAGAAGTTATAGTGCACGGTGTCCTGAGATATAGTGCTTGTCCTCAATGCATCAAATTTGTGAACTCTCAGTACGTGTAGGAATTTCCACTGAGGACTACGGTGTGAGGCGAATCCCTTAACTCTATATTATTGCTGGAGTTTTCGACTTCGCTTACTTCATTGTTATCCTGTCTCCATTTTGAAACTTTCAAAATCAGAGACTTATGTAGTGTCCCTGATATCATATCTAAACCTTGAGGAAGTTCCTGTGCGATCTATTAACTGGCAAAATTTTGACACGAAACTAATGACTATAATGTTAGTTTAGATAAGTTCGACGAACTGAGTTATTAACGATCACATGAGTGAATCATACGGGGGTGGTTGAAAAGTTTCCGGCCTCAGTTGATTCTAGTTCGGATTTTGACGTGTTTCTTGTTTCATTGCATCAATGATACCTAAAAACCATAATGTCAACATAGTCCAGATTTTTTTACGGTTCCCTTTATTTTTTTAATAAGCTGGATTACAATCGAAACAGCTTGTCACACTTCTTTTTACGTAATACTGGTTATAAAGAAATCAGTTTTACAGAAAACTTTGTATGCTCTGAAAGCCCTCTTTACTACTCAGATGTAATTTCGTTTCCGCATAATTTATCAAAACACCGTGCCTTGAATGACAAAAAACATTTCTACAGTTTTCATTAAGAACTTTCTCTTCAAAATTTCCAAAATCTTCCCTTAACGACTTAAAAGCATGCGAATTCTTGTAAAATGTTTACAATATTAGCCAAAGAGCATGCTACAAGTGCACATGAAAACCAGACTTCTATTTATCAAAACTAGATAACATTAACGCAAATTTGCATGAACGTCTGCTGCATTCCTGCGCCATAGAAAGAAATAACCGGCATAAAAATAAAAATACCAGATTTTGCAGAATTTTTGTAGTATACAAAGAGTGTAGACTGTACATCTAGCACCAAGAAAAAGTTTAAAAAAGGAGTTCTGTTACTTTTTTCAGTAGAAAAATAGATTGAATTAAATAACACACGTTTCCCCTTTTCAAGGATACTGATCAAAAATATCTCTTCCAAATTTTCTACGGTTATTTGTAAAAATCCACTTGTCCGCCCCCCCCCCCCTTCCTCCCGGAGAATGTGTCGCGGTAAAAATTAGTTACTCAAATAAATTATGAAAATGTGCAAGAAACTTGTTTATACCCGTAAATAGAAAGAATTTCAATTTTTTTTAAAAAATACAAATTAGCTTTGTAAAAATTTTTCGGGAGCGTGGCTGCTGCCACCCTTTTCTTTTGAAGTTTTGGAGTTCACTGTCCCGCGAAAGTTTCACGTACCCCAAAAAATTTCTGGATTGCGTGGCTAACGCCATCTACGCGCCTTCATTCGGAAAAAAAATAATTGTCGCGCTCCCTCGGAACGAAAATCTACCATACCAGTGGCGTCATGTGATGATTTTCAGAGCGATTCTCCCGGGAAAATTGAAGTTGACTTCCACATTGACTACAACATCACTGTGGGAGAAAATATTACGAAGAAAATCACTTCTTACTCTCATCAACATCAAAAAGTTGGGGAAGAACGTAAGTTTGCAATACCCTTGAAATTCTATCAATATGAGAAAACCCTGTACTTGCAAGTTTTTGATGAAAATAACGTGAAATAGTAAAGAGAGAAAAGAGAAATGCTGCTCTTGTCGAAATTAGGGAGTATTGTCTTACAAAAACCCCAACCAAGCAGCTTTCTTCAAACAATGGTTGAAAGCAACAATTCGCCTGAAGCTTTCTAGTAGTTACTAAAATATTAAGTTTTTAGACAATGATTGTATAGTGGACGATCCACAAGTCAACTTTTGTTACTCGACGACTTGCAACACAGAATTGCAAAAACCGGTAATTTTACGGTAAACTACCATAGCCAGTTTTTGGCACTCGTATGTCCATCAGGTTATCGAAGCAGCTCTGGCGTCTAGTGATCCTTCAACTGTTGCAAGAACTATCCAGAGATCCATAAATCGTGATTATTGGGGAATCGCCGTCTTGAAGGTAACTTTTTCATACACGACTGAGTAACCGGACATACCCATTTAAGCCTGGTGAGCTTGACAAATTCACTGCCACTGTGAACTTTCTGAATGGGCTGGTGTCCTTGATGAATTGGTGCAACATCTTCATTGGCATTAATCCCAGCAACCACCAACCTTCATATTCCCTTGTGATTCAACTTGGAAAAATTATTTCTTAATCTATTTGAATCAGTGGTGTTGAAAACTTGTTAGTACATGCTAATACTCATTCACTTGCACTTCTGTATTCACCCAACTTGAGTTAATGACTCTGCAAATAATTCAATCAGAAGCTTGATATTTCGTTTTTTCTTTCTTGTGTAATCAATCATCACCCCTACGTATAGCCGCATTCTAGCTTTTTCTTGCATATGAGAAAAATAAATAATTTAATCTAGAAATAGATAACGTTCCAGTGTATTCACGAGTAGGCTCTTCGTAGCGCATCTTTTTTCGACATTTCGATGACAAAATCCAGAGCCCAGCACGAGTTGGAAATCGTTTTGGATGAAAATCAGAGGGGATATCGTGAAAATATGTCTACATGCACATAGATACACTCTCTCAACAAGTAACACGATCTTGCTCACTCGTCATCTTCAAATATCCATTTTCTTTCATTGAGTTTAAATGAATGTCGGTTAAAGTGCACATATAACGATATGACTAAGAATTTGTGTATAAACGGACGTGGACTAGGAAGACCATAGTTCAGAGTATTGTGCAAGAATCATGTGACTGAAGGTTGTGGCAAGCTTTCTGTCTCGCTACCACAAAATAATAAAATGACTCGTTTGCAACGAGATGACGATATGGAACGAAATGTGGAGTGTGTATGCGCTGTTGGGCTAGGGAACAAAGTTTTAAAAACTTATGATAAACCTGTGTGAATAAAGAACACGCTTAACTTTTTTGCAATTTAGGTGGACAATTGCCCACCTAATGCCCAAAGGTAAACAAAACTTGCATTTCACGAAAGTTTGTCAATTTTTACAAAGATCTGTTCTACACCCGAGGGTTGATATAGTAACCTTTTGGCCATAACTCCTCTCCCCCTTCTTGGGCCCAGATTAACAACGCCAGTCCTTTTACGGAAAAAAGCGCGCTCTAATCGAACAACCTACGCAGCTGGCGGGATCAAGTGGGAAATTGTGATCGATAGTGGCGAAGGCGAAGTCGTTTCAATGACATTTATTTGCTGCCCTCATGCTGGCCCCTGTCAAAAACTGACAAAAGAGACTCATCTTGACAAAACAGCAAATATCAGTAAATGTTTTCCGCGCTACTTTCAAGGAAATCGTAGTAATAGGATTGGATTTTATCATATTATACATAAAAATTACGGGGCGGAGTGGGTATCGTAGGATACTTCTCGTCACGTTGATATCGATTCTATCGATTTTTGCCAACTTGAGCTAAGCGGTGAATGTTGGCACGGGGGTAAGCTGGCCATCAATACAGATGTAGGCCTGATTTAACACATTGACGACAACGCAAATCTTTGATTGTCGGCCCCTTGGGACCAAGACCTTTCTCGGATCAGTCAGCATTTTCTAGATAAAATCACGCATACTGCTATCACTTCCACAGCTACAGTACCTACAGTAGCTGTGGAAGGCTGACAAAGAAGGTAGAGGTCACTTCTGGATTTACAGCCAAAGAAAACTTTCTGGAATGAGTTTGTACCAAAGAACTCGTCAATTTAACGAAGTTCAAGTCTTGACACACCATGTGTATCAAGCGGTCAAACGTGGTAGGCATTGCTTAACACACATGGTGTGTCAAGCGGTCGTCAATGTGTAAAGCAATTTCTGTTAGCACTGTCTTTAGTGAGTTTCAAATTGAAAAGGCAGGCAAGCCCAATAGACGCGCAAAAAGTGCGAAATTCAGGAACTTGCGTGGTATCGCTGCATTTCTCTCAGCATAATCCTCCGTAATTTACGGTCACAAGAGCACTATTTTCGTAATCAGCGGGTCCGAACAGGTCCGGCGGGGGTGGCGCTTTTACAAGCTGGATATCGTTTTTGGCCCGAAAAAGCAAAGGCCCCAGACGGGCGGAGCCCCGGACCCCAAAACGACTTCCCATTTGTTCACCGATAAACAATGCACATATCATTCTTTATTCATCATTCCTTGTTGATGCTACTGTCCTATGAACTTTTCCAGCAGTGTGAAGATTCTGTGCTCCGATCTCTAGCCTGCCCGCAGGCGGGAATTCAAATCGCAATTATTGTAAGAGGAGAATAAAAAATAGGCTCGTTTTCACTGCACAAGTAACGATATGGCACCTTTGCTGTGTAGTTGGAGGACCATGAGCACAAAAAAAGTATGAAGAATTATGAAAAACTTATGTGAATTTAAAGTAAGTGTTTTTCGAAATTAGGTGGCTCCCGCGCCACGGGTGGCTCTCTGCTTCCCTTCACATAATTTCCCGGATTTCTTCACATAAATGTACTAGGTCGAGAGTATTACTATACGTTCAAATCCGCTTCTAAAACCACCAAGGCACCGCTTCGATACAGCCCCAAATAGGGTTCACAGCGTTATGATCGGCCTCGGAAAGCGCGCTCCAATCGCAATCGGTTATTGTAGATTGTAAAGTTTCGTAGCTGACTAATAAATGAGTAGTATCTTAGATATATAAACGTCAAAGTTTGTGCAAATTCTTGACCCTATGTTTTTTTAAAGATTCCTTTGCGGATGAACCCATTGAGCTGAAACTTTGATGACCCGGGCTGGACCAGAAAGCCAGGTAGTATTACTATAATAAGTGCTGAGGCCGCCCATCTTATTATTTGTGTATATCTGCTTGTCAGAGACTTACGGGGGTCAAAAATAGGGTCAAAGAGGAAGTCGTAAGAAATTTTGGCTTCAAAGCGGAATTTTTTCAAAATTCTGAAATGCCACCTCCTGCCGGACCCTGGGTCCGAAAACTTGTACGGGCGAAGTTTCTGGTCAATCCAAGAGCATTGATATTTTACTCAAGACCCATCGGTGAGCTTCAGAGCCTGGAATGAGAAAAAAAAGGACCGGATTTTCTAGAAAAAATTGCTTATAGAAGTTATCTAGCCGCTAGGCACAGCTGGCACCGGGCCAAGCTGAACATCGTTTTCGGGGAGGAAAGCAAAGGGGATATCGTGCGGGCGCGGGTTTTCGCGGGTTAGATGCCGCTGTCTGCTAAAATGCAAGGGGCACGGGTCAACAGCTGTCGGCTGCCGGCGGCATGCTAGTCTTTATACTTCTGTCCATCAGCATGCCGCCGGTATGCACTCGCATGCTAACGGCATGCCGTCGGTATGCCTCCGACACGCCGGTGTTAACACAGCGCGAAAATTTCAATTTTCAAATAAACAAAAGCCTTGTTTACAAACAAAACGCAATCACCCAAACTACGGCACAAAATTATATGAAAACTTATGCAAATGAAAGCTGCTGAACTTTTTTCTGAATTAGCAGGCACCGACCCTTTGCTCACATAAGTTTTCATACTTTCTAGCATAAATTGTATCTACACTGTAAAATTTATACGGAGAAAAAACGATTTCATAAGGTTTACTTTTCGGCGTTTTATGCCATCTGAAAATTTTTCGGTCTGCTCTGCAGTCGAAAAAATTGCTCCTCAAAGCTCTAAGCAGATGCAAAACAGGTCAAAGGGGACATCGTACGAAATTTGCGAGATCAAGGGGGACTTCGTTTTGAAATACTAGTGAACCATGGGCCCTTGTGTGTTGCATGTCAAAGAACGCAAAGATTCGCGGCTACATCTCAGCTGATTCACCTAGGCAGTGGACGTGCTGCCCTTTATGAAAAACAGTGCATGCAAACCCATTCTTCAAACGTTTTTATGACCAATGTGTTTCGCTAACCTACAATCTCAGTTTTCAATATTACGGCACAACTTTTCTCAGCGGGTTTCGTGGCCAAAGTACCTAAATTTCCTCCCCCGGAACTTTTCAGTGAAGGCCTAAACTCCACGGTACGCATTCCTTCTCGCGACCCAAAACTGCTGCATTCAGCGCGGAAGCACCAAAATCCATTCCTCAAATTCTTTCAGGACCAGGATGCCCAAAGTTCCTTCACCCAAGAGTACTCTCTCAATCGTGACTATCCCTTCTCTTCTCGCCCTTCCTCGCGTTATTTTACTTCTTCGGAGTTTCCACGTTGAGCCCAAAATCTCCGCGGGTTTTCGAACCCTTTGGATTCGTAACGCTGATTCCACGGTGCCCATTCAATGTCCCATCCCAGGGTGCTTAGAGTTACCCCCCCCCCCCGGACAAATTTTCTGCTAAGCGGTTGCCTTGTTACGCGGTCTCACTTCCCCTCATTTTACTTCCTCACAGTCCCCATACTAAAACCAGACTTATCCTGCTGACCAAAGCACCCGAATTTTTTTCATCCAAACTTCTTTTAATCAGAGCCTGTGTTCCACGGTGGCCACTCCTTCTCCCTGCCCAAACTCAGACAATCGCCGGGAGCAGACGGTCCGCAAACTCGCGCCTTTCTGCAAGCGGTCAGCAAAATTTTGGGGCGTGTCTAAAACCTTCAGCAAGCGGTACTACTTCCGCGTTCTGCCAGCGGGCAGCAGCTGCCCGCTGGCAGAACGCGGCAATACAAAATTCAGCAGGCGTTCGGACTATTTTTACGCAGCTTCGGGCGTACGCCGAGCAAAGATAACATTTTACATAACAGAGGTGTTAACAATGGTTTCAATACCCGAGTTTGGGGCACTTTCTCCCAGCGGAAGGTACCCACAGGCTGTGCGGTCCTTCACAAATGACCGTGCTGTTTCCAACAGTTTTGCACATTATCGCGGAAGGTCCGCGAGAATGCGGTCACTGCGCCGCAAATAATCTATGAAAGAGCCGCAATTATTCTTTAAGCATGCGTCCAAAATTTCGCAAAACTCCCAAATATCTGCAAGCGGACCGCAAGAAATCAGCAAACTATTTTTCCGGTGCTCGTCTGCTCATAAATCGCATGGCCGCCTGCCCTCGGCGATTATCTGAGAAATCTGGTGTAGCCAAAGTATGCGAAAGGATCAAAATTCTGCTGCCAAATCCTTGCAAGGCCAAAGTGCCCGAGGTTGTTCTTCTCCGAATTCCACGCACCTTGTCAGATGTCCTTGCCCCCCCCCCCCACATTACACTTCCTCAGGATGTGTTGAAGCTCGCACTCTTCT